TACAATAAAAAGGCATACATAATTAATGGATTCTTTATTGTGTATAATTAAAAGGATATTTTACTATAAACGAAGCATGATAGATCCACAGGGGGATAAAAGAAGCATGAGTCTTGATGAAAAAGGGGAAAAAATCACCATAGATAAAAAATCATTATAATCAACCTAATTGGAACTGCTTAGAACAAAAGCGGATTAAAATCTCCCCCAATGAAATTCATTTGCAATTTCATAGGTAGTCCCTACTTCCACTTCTATAATTTTGAGAAAACATTGCAATTTCATCAATAGTCCCCACTCGTGGGCCAATTTCAATTGCAACCAAATTTGCACCCTTGCAATAGCTTCTCACATCATAGCAAGTGTAGGATGCAATTGCACCTCCTTGCTTAGGGATGACCATTACTGCATCTCGTCACCTGTCTTAGGGAAATTAGCCATGGCAAATTCACAAAATACTGCATGCATAGAAAAATATTTGTCTGGATAATTAAAAAAATGGGAGACTTTCCTAGTCAGATGATGTACTGGCTCCCCTCAGTACCTGACAGTTTTGAGTGCTGGAGAAAAAGACTGGAAAAAAAAAACAACGAAGCCTTACAGTAAACTTCTTAACAAAACACATCCAATGCTGGCCCCTTCACTGCTCCACCCCGCCCTGCATCAATCGACTCTCATGTAAGCCGAGGACGTTTGCTTGAGGATGCCTCAGGGGTCTCTTCATGCTCCGTATGCCGAAGGTCATAAAAAGTATTGGTCACTTCGACGATACGGTAGACTGGCAAATAGGCGGAATGGTCCTCCCTAGCATAAACCCCCATATCCATCCCAACCCTTCCAAGAAAGGTGGTCAAGAAGGTGGCATATGGAAAGGCAGTGTACCAGTTTTCCCCTCTAGGAGCAGCCTCAACCATGTTCAGGCACATGAGAGATGCGAGGTTAAGAGGAACACCTCTTTGAGCTTGCACAAGGATAAACAGGTCAAGTTTACGAATTATCGAATGACCACTGTACCTTGGCATGAAGCAGTTGACGATCATCCAATGGAGGAATCGAAGAGGATCTGGGAGGAAAGAAGCCTGGATGCGCCCATTCGTCAGTTTCCCCAGTTCAACTTCAAACTCAAAATCGTACAGCCGCCGAAGATCGCTTCTGCTATCAATGTGGTGTCCTGCGGCGGGGAGATCGAGGATCTCAGCAAACTGATGAGGCTGGAAGCAGCTCTATAACCCAGGAAGACCGACACGAGATGAGAATCGGAGGGACCAGACAGCTCTAAATTGTGGTAGAACTTCCTCACCACATGCGGGCAGTAACTGGTGCTTCCTCGACTCCGGAGATCGAAGAACTTTTCCCAGCCAAGATTTTTAATTAACTCTTCACTTCTTGAGGGAAAGGACTCAGGTGGATGAACTCGTACTCGGCCACAATAGATGTCTTGCTCGTGAATGAAAGATAGTCCGCGAGACTTGGGTGGATCGGCAGTCGTCGTTTGATAGAGTTAGATGCCCATGTTTGCCATGGAGTCAGAGGAAGAAGGAACAAGGGAAGGTGAAGATGGAGGAAAGAGAGAGATTGTAGGTGTAAGAAAAAGTGATCGTGGGGGTTGAGTGTGGAGACGTGTGATGGAGACGGTTGAGTCTGGAATGTCAAGAGTTAGAAGATTTGGGAAGATATGTAGTAATGATGATGTTAACTCGTGTAGGTTAAACTAGGGTAACTAAAGCTAGTTAAACTAGGGTTGGCGCTGATACCGCAGGAGAAAACTAATGGGCTCGCACGTTCCAGGCCCACTTTTGAATATTGCATGGGTCATGTACAAGCCCACGTTTGAATGTTATTTAAAAGCCTGCAAAAATCAATGATCAGACCCAGTCCAACTAGAATTAGTCCTAAACGCACCGTTAATACATAGACACAAACTAAGGAGACCTCTCCATCCGATTCGAATCAAATTATGTGTTCTTCATCTTCTTCCTCAATCCTCTGGGCGAGACGAACACTACATATCAGGAAACCTAAATTTCACCGAGAGATATAATCACAATAACGCTAAGACAAGATGACAAAGCACTAGTGACATGAACCCTAGGGTTAGCAAACCTCTTTCAAGGGTTCTTTTGCAAATGAAAAGTTCGATGAACACAATAATAGACATGGTCGCCGTAATCGTGTTAGAAAGAGATAGGCGAGGGGAAATACAATGGCGAAGAAGAAACAAGACAAATTTTTTTTGGGAAATTCAATCTACGTCGAATGTGGATGGGGAGCTTCTCTTGGAACTGTGAAGGGGCGTCCCTCCAAGACGAGAGAGGGATCGTGTAATTGGTTAGGGAGACTGGAAATTGGTTTGGGCGGCAGTGGGTCTACCCAATTGGGTTTGCAGTCTTAATCCATTTAATTTAATCGGGGCAGTTAGTTGGACTAGGATGAAAACAAACTTAACGCGGAGGAGGCTTTTTGTAATTTGTTTAGTTAGTTAGTGGTGCAGTTAGGTTTAACAAACGTGAGCCGTGGAGATTGAAAACGAATGGTTAAGATCGGCCAAGGTACCCGTACCCGGCTTTTGCCCTGGGCACCGTAGAAGTATATATATATATATATCGCCATATATATATATATATAACCATATATATTTATGGTGTCTACTTCGGTGCACTCACTAAAATGAGTGCGTTCAATGCACCCAACTCAAAAACTAGTCTTAAGGTGTCGGATTTTGAATTTTAATTTGTAGAATGAGTGTAATATGATGATATAACATATGATAAGAACTAATTAGAGGATTACCCTAAGCCCTAGACCTCCAATTTTGAGTTCTATCCTTAAACCCCAAATTGTAAACCCTAACCCTAATCATAAATCTCTAAACTCTAAATCCTTCAAATTAAAGTAAATCTTTAATGGTTTTTGTGCAAATTCATGTGCGTTATTGTTCATCACATCATAAGTGATTATTGACATCATTTTGACATAAATCGCATGTTTAAAATGACGGTTATGAAGCGAGTGCACTGAATGCACCCAAAAAAGTGAGTGCACCGAAGACGCCACCATTAGGGTGATGTAATTGTTTATGGACTAATAAATAAATTAACCATTAGTTACAACAATTATACTAAACTTGATAAGTAATCTTTGACGGTTAGTTGTTTAGGGTATAAAGTATACGGTTAGGGTATAGGGTATAATGTACATATGGTTTAGGGTGTATATGGTTAGGATATAAGATATTGATGGTTTTGACGGTTCTAAGTTTTTTATTAACATATGTTCACTTGAAGTCATTTGAAGTCTTTAACGACAGAAGATCCCTTTTAATTTATGTTTATGGTATGTGGTTCGGGTACAAGATATGTGGTGTAGAGTATAGGATAGATGGTTAGGGTATAGCAATTAGCAAATATCATTTTTATCTATGTTTTGAAAATCAAAGTATGAATTGCACTTTTAAATTAACTATACTAGCAAAATCACAACTCATAAGGACATATGGTTAGGGTATAGGGTATGTGGTTAGTGTACAATGTATTGATGGTTTAGGGTATACAATCAACAACATATACTAACTTAATATTGTCGATTGAGTGTAAGGCTAAGTGTATAGGATATATGTTATTAGTAAGTTATGATTGAAGTCACAATAATTTTACTAAATTTGATAGTTAATCTTTAATGGTTCAATTTTTAGGATAATCCGAATAATTTTACAAATAACTCGTTTGGCAACAATTTACTAAAGTTATTTGGCCAATGAGTTATTTCGAAATAACTCCTTTTATCACTCGGTTTTTTCCAAATACCTCACTCCAAATACCAGATTTGCATGGTTATACTAAACGAGATACTTTAATCCAATTACTATTGAAATAATACTAAAATATCAAATAAACAATTAATGGTGTCTTTTGGTTGCAAATATTGATATCAACATTACTATTAGCTAGTGTACTTTACCAATTATGATTAATTACATAACACGTTTACAAGTCACACAAATTGATTTAACATTTTGACTAGTTTTTTTTCAAAAAAATTAAGTATATATATATACAAGGTAGAAATAAATTGGTTAAAAGTTGAGAAAGTATTATAAATTAGTGTAATAAAATTCGTAAGTTGGTAACGAGTAATGAGTAAGTTACTCGATGTGTTGGCCTGAACAACCCGAAACCCGATCCGCCCGCAACCCGCCCGATCCAAAACCCAATGAACCCGCAACCCAATTTGCCCGCAACCCGATTGAACCCGAACTCGATGAACCCGCAAGCCGTTTGAACCCAAACCCGACTAACCCGTAGACCTGGCAAATGAGGACCCGACCCGTTGACCCGACCCGAACTCGTCCGGAAAATAAATAATGGGTTGAGATTTTTATAACCCGAAACCCGAATGACCGGAACCTGATTAACCCGTAGTTTTTGGGTAAGGTTGGGTTGGTTTGTGGGTCGACCCGCTAGACCCGTTTTATTGTATATGTCACTCTCAAAATGATAAAATCACTCATACTTTGGTGAGATGTTTAAAAAATTTTATTAGGATTTGAAAGACAAGTTTGGAGTGTTAAGATAATCAAACATCATTTGTTTATTGTAGTAGTATTACTTTCGTCATTGTTTTGTGACAATTTGTATTTTTTTCATTAGCATGGAAGGAGTTGAACATTTGTTAATTGACATGTGCTAGGTAAACTATTGTCGCACATACGTAAAAATTTGTGTTCTTTAAAAATTTGCGAAGCATGTTTGATATTGTTTCTGAGAACGCTCATGACCCGAAACCCGACCCGAAACCCGATGGGTTGGGTCAATATTTGACCCGAAATCAGCAAACCCATCGTGACCCGACCCGTGAAGACCCATAACCCGAGATTCCTAATCCGAAATTACCCAACCCGACCCGATTGCCAGGTCTACTAACCCGCAACCCGTTTGAACCCGAACCCGATTGAACCCAGCCCGAACCCGCCCGATTGACACCTATAGTCTTAGGGGAAGAGCACTTCCACCAAGTTCTGGTACTGGAAGGCCTTCGAATCCAGCCTCTCGCTGCACGATTTCTTAGCAGCCCACGCTCGCTCCGTACGGGCGATCCTCGCCTCTCTTTCAGTCGTGGACGTCAGCCTCCTCGAACTCTTGCCGGAGGTGCGTGTTATCGCCACCACTAGCGCTGGGCTCAACCTATTATTGGACTTGCCCAAATGCTACCGCCGAGGTATCAAGATCGCCAATGCAGGGGATGTATATTCCGTTGATGTCGCCAATTGCGCCATCGAAGTGTTGATTGATGTGCCGAGGAAGATTTCCGCTAGCAATCGCTACGTCAAGTAAGGGTTCTGGGCCTCAAAAGGAGAGTATCCTCTCGGCTGCATGGTTAATCAAACAAACCCCCTTTGATTTCACTAGTTTCCAAGCATTCTGGGTTTGATAATGTAGAAATTCCAATGATTACTCTTCTGGGTTTTTCAAATCTAAGTTCACTAGCACTGGTTGTTTCAATTATCACAATTGAATTGACCTAATTGATTGTGGGATTGGATCGAATTGGGTATTTCCAAGACTAACTCCCCCTTCCCCCATCTCACCCATCGTGGCCGCCGCCCTCCCTTCCACCGTCCTTTCATTGGAACTCAACTCCCCACCTCCGACAACAACCCCCACCACTATTTCCTCCACCAACTGATTCGGGTCCAAATGCACACATTTTACCCCTCATTTCTTATCTGTTTTGCTGAGTAGATCACCTTCCCTCAACCTATTTTACGCTAGGTTGTGTATGTTTTGATACATTTCAGGTCCTAGTACGTGTCGGAAGGTCAATGACGAGTTTCGGGTCAAACGGAGGTCGAAAAGCGCCAAAAAGTAAAAAATGTCCAAAGTAGCGAGCGTGACAATTGCCCCGTGACCGTGAACCGTGGGCGCCCAAGAAAGCAGCCGTAGTTCACGGTCCAAGCAGCAAGTTCACGCTCGCCAGGACCGTGAATCGCAGGGCGTCCAGAGGAGTTTCATAGGTTACTGGCTTCAAGCCAGTTCATGGTCTCTAAGACCTTGAACTGAAGCCCCAAACCGTGAAGTCGTCAGTTCACTGTCGACTAAGACCGTGAATTGATCAACGCGGTCGTGAACTGAGGCCTAAGACCGTGAACTGGGCCCTGTTAGGAAAATATAAAGACAACAGCGGGGAGAGAGAAAAGGGAGCTGGTTTTTGGAGAGGGATTCGATTCTCTCTAGGGTTTCAACCCAAAACACCAAAAGGGAGTTCTAGTGAGAGAGAGAGAGAGAGAGAGAGAGAGTGCTTGAGTGATCTTGGAGCTTAATTGGAGGATTGGGTTGATCTTGAAAACAAGGATTCAAGCCTATAAGAAGATGATCTTTGGCTCCAATTTGTAATTTCTCTCTTCTCTCTCTAGAAACTCACCCTCTTCTCTTGGTTTAAGAACCCTAGGTCTAGATTTGAGTGTAATGTTGATGTATGTGACACATTTCATGTTTGATTGATGATTTTACTTAATTGGTTTTCATGAATGACATGAGTTGGGTTTCCATTTTCATGTATTGAGCTTTTGACCTAGGAGGGAGAAAATCCCCCTAGAGCCCATTATTGGCGTCTTCGGGTCACTCCTCACCCTATATCGTCCGGGTAATCCCCGAGGGAGTCGATTCCATCAATCTCCTATGATATAGGGTTGACCTAGGTTGAATAGAGCCTACCACATTCATCGATTCGCCGATCCGGGTCATTCCCAGGGGAGTCTATCTCCTACGGTAGAGTAATTGAGTCAATCGAGCTTTTGACCTAGGAGGGAAACAACTCCTCACCCCATATTGTCCGGGAAATCCCTGAGGTAGTCGATTAGATCGATCTCCTACGATATAGGGGTGCCCTAGGTTGAATAGGGCTCCTACCCATCCATCACTTCATCGTTTTGGGTCCGTCACGAGGGAGTTCATCTCCTAACGATAGGATAGTGGATTGATCGAACTAGGAGGATACTCAGCATCGATCCAAAGATCGGAAATAGGGGGATTTAACCCAAGGGAGCTCCAAACCTTGTAAATATCTAGGTTAGTGGTTAGTCTATGTTAGTTAGCTTAGGGCCCGTTTAGTATTGTTGCTTGTTTTTGTTTCCTGTTGTGTTTTAAGAAATTTGGAAAACCAAGAAAAAAAAACGTGTTTAGTTGGGTTTTTATTTTTTGTTGTGAATCAGAGTTGCACAACAAGGCCCAAATATGAGAAACAACAATTTATAGCTTTGGATCTGATTCTTAAACATGTTGCACACGGGATTCCTACTAGTTGGGCGCTTGATTTCATTAAAACAGACCAGTTTTCGAATCCCCACAGAAGCAAAAAATTTTCTTTTTTTTTAACACAGCCCCCAAAACCCCACTTCGCAGCCGCCCCAACCCATTTTTCTTCTTCTCCATTTTCTTTCTTCTTGTCGACAGAGAATCCCCCTCACATCCGCCTCCTCCCGCCTCCGCCCGGCGACCCGCCGCCCAGCCCGCCGCCGACGCCCTGCCTCCGCCGCCATCATCGTCTATAAGAGGCTTTTGTTCCCTAGGAATTTTTTGGTTCTTTTCTTATTTGCTCTCTTCCACGGCGTATGAGTATACCGGCAACAAGAGGCACAGTAACAAAATCAATGTTTGTCTTTAGCATTTCTTATAATGAATAATGGGTTGTAATGAATAAAAACTGGAAGAACAAAAAAGAACATCCATTTTCTCCAAAAGGCAATGTTCTTGAGATTCTACAAAAACACGGCCCTATAAATTACATGTTACTGTGTGTTACCCATCCACACCCTGATCTAGGACGAGAAAGAAGGTAATGTGTACACTAGTCGAAAGGATACTGTAGAGCTCATTCACTTCATCTTATTACTGGCCTTGATATAGTTTAGGAACCTTTTGAGCGCTCGACCACTGTCGATTGCTTCTCTAGCTCTATCCAAGGCTGAATTTACATCTTCTGCGCCGCCACATCCCAGCAAGTGATCGATCATTCCAGCATTTAATACAATACGATCATACGCAGGACCCCTTTGGCCATGATTGAGTACATATCTCTTTTTTTTTTGTTTTTAGTTCTTACAATAGTAACTAAACGCGTTTTTGTTTCTTGTTTTCAGCTTTCATGATTTTTCAGATTTATCAACTAAACAGGTTTGTGTTTTCTGTTTTTTTCCTGTTGTGGTTGTACATCTGTTTACACAACACCACTGCAACCACAACAACAACAAAATGATACTAAACGGGCCCTTAGTTTTCCTAATCATTACTCTAGGTTGGCTAGATAACGAATCCTAAACCTGAAGTAGGGGTAAGCCTAGATCACCGTGGTACGATAAATTCTTATTGCTTGCTTGCGCAATGCTGCTCCCGGTCGCCAGTTATACTTGACCGGTGATTGTGATGTTGTAGTTAGAATGAGTCACCAACACTAGTGAACGACCGTCATTGTCGGCTCCCGCTTCTCCCTCAGAGGATTCCTCTAGACCGGCGTCAAGGAAATCACCGCAAAAAATGCCATCACCGTCGTATCCGCAGCTCAACCGCCGGATATCTCTACCACCGTCATTTTCCTTCTCTTGATTCGAATTCACCGACCCTTCGTTCATCTTTTCGATGCCACTTAATCCATTCCTCCCAACAAGGTTTCAATCAAGATGGATTCTAGCGGTGGAGAGAGTAACTGAGAGAGCCGAAATAGTGATGAAAGTAGTGTTTAGTTTTGGTGGACAAACGCAGACGAGAGTTGTAGCAGAGGTGATCGAAGTTTTAGGGGTTGGGGAAGCGATGGAGGAGAGGGGTCTCAGCTGTCGGAGTGGAGGAGCCACTAGCGGTGGAATTGAGAAGATGAAGAAGAGGAATAGGAATAGTTAGTGGATGATTTTTATTAAATAATTAATATGATAAATGATATTGACAAAGTTAGTGGAATGATGAGGTGAAAAAGATAATTTTTTTTAAATTTCCATGTAATCTATTTAATGGTCAAACTTTATAGTTGACTGCCACGTAAGACAAATTTAACGGAGTGTAACGGCCAGTGACTAAGGTGAAACGATTCGTAAAGTTAGTGGCGCATAAGTAAGAAAAGTAATTCGGGTGACAAATGTGAAAGATTTGTGTAACTCGAGTGACCAAACGTGTAATTTAGCCCATTTCGAATGTTGGAAGTTTATTGAATAAGAACGTACAAACCTGTCGGAACAATTATCCGTATAGTCACAAAATCGGGAGCGGATCCCATAACGAACTTTGTGGGATCCAGAACCTGTCACATATGGGTCACTTCATCATTTATGGAAAGTTTTAATATTGTTCTCTCTAAATTTAAATGGCTATATTTCTTTCATTTTAACTCTGAATATAATTTTTTTCACAGACAAATTAGATTAATTGTGCTCTTCAAAATGATATCCACTTTGATATTTTTTTTTGAAATAATTTTTTTTGAAACATATAGTACTAGTCTATAGCATGGTAGTATTGTTTGGTATTACATAAGAGCATGCAACATGGTATGAAACTGTATCATGGTGGTATGAACGTACCAGACTGTAGGATAGTTGAATACATAATAGTAGGAATATACTAACTGTAATTTAGGACTTTCAACATTGTGTACCATAAGATAACATGCCTATACCAGACCAGGGTGGTATGAGGTGGTATTTTTTGATCATGTATTTTTTCTCCAGAAATTTGTAGATCAAATAGATCATGATGAAATCGTTCCTTCTGTACAAATACCACTCATTACCATTTCCATACACACAAAAATAAATTTACGTGACGCTAAATGACCGGATGATTAATTAATTATTAAAAAAATTCCATTTACCGTCTCGACAACAAAAACTCACAGTAAGAAATTTAACCCCACTCAATTCCCCAAGACCAGGAAGCTATACATACCAGGAATTTAATCCCAAATGGAACTATGAAACAACTTCGGGTAAATTACCTCTTATACCACTAAATTTTAAGAATTAGGGGAAATATATTATTAAAATATAAATATGGCACCAGATACCATTCAAATCAATAAAATGTGCATTTGTATAGTTTTCCATCCACCCTCCTAACGGAAGGAAAAAGAAGTGTTGACCGTGGTCAAATACAAAGTAGAGTCATCTTTGCTTTTGCTACAAAATAGAAAGAAACTCAAGTTGCCCAAAAGTCTTCGAATCCTCTTTCTCAAGCGAACATATCGACCCGTCTTTCCAAACATTCTTCAATTTGCCGACAAATCCTCGTTCGTGATGAAAGTTTCATTTGGTGGATGTTTTGAATTTCGATACGAAGGAGGAAGGGTAAAG